TAGTCAATCCTATTTACCGTCATCACAGTGTTCCTGGAAATAGTCGAAAGCAAATTAGTCCAGAACGTCTCCCACCCCTGAGATGGACTGTACTGAAAAAGTGATTCGGATTGTTTATAATTTGATTTTAATTAAATTAATCGATGGAATTTATTTAATGAGATTAATTAATATTAATTGATTAATAAAAATAATTTAAAATAATTTATTTATTTGATTTAAAAATTAAATTAATTGAAACATAATAAAATTCAAATATAAAATAAAATAATAAATTGTATCATTTTATTTCACAAATTATTAGAGTATTTAATATAATAAATTGATATTTAAATATTTTGTTGAATAATTTTATTTAATTTATTTAAAATATAAAAAATAATAATTTAATTTAAATATATTTATTATTCGATTAACTAAAAAAATTAATCAAATTGATTGAATTAAATTTAATCAATTGATTTTTAAAATTAATAAATTCAATTCAATTAATAATATAATATAATATAATAAATTTAATTTTAAATAATTTAATTCAAAATCAATCGAATCGAAATATCTAATGGCCTCCAAATTCAAGTTGGGATCACTTTAGTGGGTGAGGTTCAAATGTTCAATTTTCACAATAATTAATACTCTTCTTTTTTTTTTTAGAGCACAATAAATGCAACTTATTTATTTTATTTTATTTTTACCATAATAGATGATATTACTAATTATTGGACCATAATCATGTATTTGTTTTAAAATTTTTTGGTAATAAGGTGAATAAAATTTTACTTTAGGCATAAGATTAATAATTGTATAAAATAAAATAAATCATAATAATTCATTCACGAGCTGTACAATTTAAGTACAGGTGTAAAAGTAATAAGTAAAAGGACAAGAGATGGATGCATTACATGATTAATGCAAATGTCGAAAAATCAAATCTCATGAAAGGTTTTAGTTGGATGAGTAACTAACGCATTAATTCAAGTACTATTTAAAAAAAATGAAAATTTAAGGTACTTAAAATTGAACAAACAGAGAATGTACTAGCTTTAAATGCAAGTAAATTTTTTTTTTTTTGGAATGTTTGCATTAGGATTATGCTTATGATATAAATAAATAGAATGTTTGATAAATATTTTTTAAATAATTTTAATTTATATTCGTTTATTAAATTTAATACACGATTATAAATAATATTTTGAGATTTATTAATTACACAAACAAAATAAAATTCATTTATATTTGAGTTGTTTACATTTGAGAGTGAAAAAAATTAAACATTTTATGAATAATTTGCAAATGAATTTTATTTATGTTCATTATATTTATTTATTAAGTTTAATAAACGATTGTAAATAATATTTTAATAGTTATTAATTAAATAAATAAATTATGAATACAACAAAATTTATTTTTATTGATTTATTTATTCCCTTAATCATGGAATAGTTCCTCTCTAACATGTTTTTTTACAAGAAAAAAGTTGGCATCAATCAACATCAAATTAAGTTTTGTAATTTTAAACTAGACATGGCACAATCATGATTCATGACACTTCCCATCTTTGAACTTCAAAATTCAAAAACATGTGTTGGTAACTTGAAGAGATGGGTTGAACATGACCATCCAAATTAAGCCCCTATTGTCCACTAAACAAACATGCATTTGTTAATTAGGGAGATAATGAAAGTGAAAAAGAGTAAAAGATTTCAATTATTGCTATGGTTAATTATAAATCAGAATGTACTCAAAAGGATGATTTAGAGAATCGTTTGAAAATCAGCAATTTGATAGATTCAACAAATGATAAAAAGTAATCAAAACCAATTAGACACTTCAACCTCTGCAATCTGACAAAGCGGTCCATGTAGCGGCTCGGGCACGACAATGCCATGTCATCAAGAAATGAGATGTTTGAGTGGAGATGAGCTTGTTATTTGTCACCCTTTGTCTTCATTAGAGACAAGCTGATCTTTCAAGCATATATTATCAATGGAGTGATTAGATTAGGGGTTAGGTGACCTGATTTTCAGGGTCATAGCCCTTTCCAACTCGTTTGCATGCCGGGTAGAGCTTACATTTTGAAAAACAAAAGAAAAAAAATTGTGGGTTAAGGTTTACACGTGATTTTTTTTTTTTTAAGAAAAAGATGGAGAAAAATCAATTTCAAAGAAAAATGCATGATTAATAATTGTGTGATTTACGTGTTTAGTTTTTAATTTTTGATAATTTCAAATAAAAAAAGTTTGAATTTGTTTAAACTTTGAACTTATTAGTAATGGGTTTTGATTAAATAATCCGAATGCAATGTTGTTAGACATAAAAAGACATGGGTCACAGTGCCCCATATAAAAAGAATATAACTGAACTGAGATACAACTAAGCTTTTATTTCCTTTGTTTTCTCTTTCTCTCTCTCTTTCTTTGTCATTTACAAGGAAAAAAAATTTATTAAAAAAGCAGTGTTGATGCAAGGGCCTGGCATGGTTTGACTCCTTACTTTCTACGTTACCAATGTCTCTCGCCTTCTTAATTTTTTTTTCTGAATTTCCTTTCTAATTGCCATCAAAATTCTCCTAATAAGTGGCAAGATTAACCATTGAGAATTGAGACATTTTTTCCAGGAATTTTTTTTTTTGAATGGAGGTTTTTTTTTCAGATGCTTTTAATGTCAAGTTTGTCTTGAGAAGTTCATGACAAGGTATTTTATATATATATATATATATATATATATATACTAGATACAAAATGTTTTGAATGATTGATTTGAGTGGAAAATGCTGCTCACTTGTTTAAATTTAAGATATCCAAAATGTAGTAATACTTATTTTTTTTCTTTAACCCTTTTTCTTTTTTTGTAGTTAGGAATTGAAGAATTTAATATCTTTTTTGGGTTGTGACAAAATCACAATCGAGATAGAGAAAGAAAATGAAAATTGGAGAGCCAAGTTGAACACGTTTTTGCTTAAATAGGTCATGTGGGGTGTCAGAAATAAAGTTACATAGGATGTAAGATTATTTTAATTATAACCTGTTGTGAAGATATGGGTAGGATTCTAAATGTAAGAACATTGGCTGGGAACTGGCCGAAGGGAGCCCTTGATTCAGTCCCATGGCGAGTCTCATGTTTTTGAACAATGGTCAATAGGTTTTCATATTCAATGTTAAGTTCAATTTTACAACCTTACTACTGAGACATTTTTAAAAGGCACTGAGATCCATTCTCGAATGCCTAAAACAAAATTTGAAAAAAATATATATATATGAAGAGAGAAGGTGAAGCTCAAGTGGGATTTTGTGGGCACAGGTTTTCAGGTTTAGGAAGATGACCCATGTTTCGTGGGAAAACTTTTTGTCATTTTATGAAGGAAATATGAACTTTTTTGGGGGAAAAAAAAAAAAAACAAAGATTTGAACAATGTTTGTTGATTCACACGGATGAATTCTCAACACAGCTCTCATCTATGGTAGTTTTCATTATATGTACAAATACATTGAATTTGGAGTTTTTTTTTTTTTGGTCAGTTTTGTGTTGTAAGTGTCAGTTATTAGCCTCATTTAGGGTAGATTTGATAATCAGAGAACAGAAAGCAAGAAAGAATTCATGAACCTGGTAAAATCTCAGTTACCATTATGACAGAGCAAAGCAAAGTGAGGTTACACTTTTAATTTTTGTAATTTTTTCTGTCCATTTTTGAACAATTCAGAGCCTTATGGGGGAAATTTATTTACTTCTCAGTTCCCGCAACTAAATTTACTTGGATGGTAAGAACAATGAAAAGCCAAGAAAGAGGGTGACCATAATTAATGTTGAAACCAGAAGAAATTTACTTCCTAACGACTTGAGCAAAATATGTTTCTTTCACTCAAACGGAAAGAAGGGACATTGAAAAAATCTTTGGTGGGCCTATCATTTGTGCTGGTGGCCTATGTCATCCTACCTGCTTTTGCATTAATCTTCCATTTTTTTCCAGCTGGTAGGATGTAGAAATCATGATAGAATTAAATGAGAAGAGTAGAAGTAGAAACGGATGAAATATTTGGTATAAAAAATTATAATAATATAAGATAAAATAATATTATTAATAAAATTATATTAAATAATATTATTTTATTTTATATTTGATGTATATTAAGATTAGAATAAGATAATTTATATACTGATCAAAATTATTTTTTTAAAATTTTTACAATTTACATTATTAATATAATTTTTAAATGTATAATAAAACATTAAATTTAATTTTATATATTAAAAATAATTTTTTCTATTTTAGAATAATTGAATCCTTTTATATTAAAAGAATGATTAATCTTTCTTATAATTTTATCATTTTTTTAAATATAAATTAAATATAATATAAAACTATTATCATCTATGTATCAAACGTGACCGTAGATCTTAAAAATTTAGCAAGGAATCATTGCAGTTAATCTCCGGATTGTGTTTTCCAGTTGCTTTTACCAAAACCAGAAACTTTTGTTAAACCAATGTATCTGTAACCTGGTTTGAAAATTGGGTCTATAAATGAATGTGCTGTGCCTGCTTATATAAACAAAATTGAGACTACTGACAATGGGCTGGAGTGCATGTCTACAACATAGTGGCTAGCCGTGCAATAGGCTGGGCCAATATCTTGGATCTTGCCTTTAATCTTAGGCTGCTGGAACACCCAAGCTTGGAGTACTGTGATTCGGAGTCACAATACCTGCCACTGCTACAGGAATTAGGCACATTTGGTAGACACTTGACGATGTTGACACAAAAGGGAAAAAGAACAGGAAACCATTTGCACGGTTAGAGCTGCTTTGCTTTCAACACTATTTCTAATCACCCCACCAGTAACGTCAACACTTCGCAATTAAAGCTGTGCATTTTACAGCCTTGAGCGTTGAAGCCAAGTTACAGCAAAGCATAACCTCACTTGCACTTTTCTTTTTCTTTTTTTTCTTTTTTTTTTTTTCAGAATGAAAATGAAAGGATGGAAGATTGCAAACAAGAGGATATTTAGCAGAGTGGGGACTTTAAGTTTGAAAGATAATTTCCATACAAACAATTAAAGCAGCAAATGTGTTTTAAGGAGGGCTTGGTCCACTAAATAAAGAGACAGACCACACATTGATTCATGCATATTAATTTAAAGACCAACGCCACAGGGAAGGAAGCCCTCCTGTTACATGTGGTAGAAGCACGTTAACCCATAGCATACTTCTGGGTCCAGCTCCGAGCAGTTGTCTCATACTTGCTCCGGTCAGTCTTGTACATGTGGGCGATCTCTGGCACCAACGGGTCATCAGGATTTGGATCCGTCAAGAGTGAGCAGATTGAGAGCAACACCTAGAATCAAATAAAAATAAGAAAACATCCCAACATCTAAACACCAGTACACCTAGGCAAATAAAAGTTACATGAGTGAAAAAAAAAAAAAATTCTAAACCAGGATGAACAGACACAAAGAAGCAACGATCCATGTTGCAAATAGCTTTTCCGGTAGATGAAATGCTAAATTTTAAAGACTTGCTGTAACCTTTCATTTGAAACTCGTCCTTTTTTTTAATGGCTCTATGAAGAATGGTTGATAGATAACATAACATGGTAATGTATATTAAAAAATAAAAGATGTATATACTTCGAGGCAGTTAGGAGTGTTGAAAAAAAACCTTGGATATGGTGAGGGCGGGGCTCCACTGCTCCTTCAAAATATCGAGGCAAATGCTACCATTGCTGTTAATATTAGGGTGAAAGACCTTTGTCCTGAATGCAACCTGAATAGACGGAAAAATAAAAAAAAAAAGTCAAAGAACAATAAAAGATGAAAAAAAAAAAGGTTAGCTGAATAAAACTACAAGAAACTTGCTGGTCGAAAATTAGCTACCAAACAAGCATGTTATAAGGCCATTAAAGCGGAAAAAAGCATGGAATGAATTCACCAATGTTTTACCCTGTAATTACAAAAATTAGCAGAGACTGCCTCCACATGACAAGCCATTGTCATTGGTTACAATAAATTTGATGCTATTTTATCCTTCAACAAATGAGCATCATTATTATCACATAAAATTATAAAAAATATTCCCATAGCATCCATGCACAATACATTTTTGTTTAACCAAGAAGTATATAGTAAATGGGATAAGCCATAACTAAATAACCGTATGCATGTACCAGAGAAAGCTTAGCTGAAATGGTTTACAAAAGTAAAAAATAGCAATAGATCATGTAAACTTTGGCACTTAAAGCTACCTAACAATAGCTTTTCATACATAAACTTAGCCATTAGACACCCAGCAAGCATGCATACATGCTCTACGGAGATAAAAATATTTGTGCTACAGAATAAGCTAATAAAAGCTAAAAAGCAATAAAGTAGAATTAGCATTTACTCATTTCAATGCCAAGTAACGTTTGCACAAGCCACTTGCCCTGTAGAGACACCTTTCGTCACAGTATTTACACCAAGGAATTAGCTATATATAACATGAAGGCTTTAAACAGTTATGCTATATATGCATTTCCCTCCAAACGTTGAAATGAAATTGAGAAAAGGTAGGGACATTCACCATATTAAAAGAACAGCTATATTAGATTTCTGAGGAGATAACACTTGTGTCTTACGACACTTGTATAGATGGTTATAAAAATATTAGCTTGTTGACATAATCAACTTGCAGCATATGGAGTGCTAAGAAATTTTCTTCAAAACACTTAAGAGACATAGTGGCATATTTTTTAAAGCAAAAGGCAAACAATTACAGTTAAATATATAGACAAGAAAGGTAAAATTACACGATATACAGTGAAGGTAGGAAAGAATGAAAACTAGATGGTTAAGGGATACAATTAAATACCTTGGGTGGCTTAAATGGATAGTCCGGAGGGAAATGAATGGTGACTAGAAACACTCCACCAGCATATGGACTGTCAGGAGGACCCATAATAGTTGCTTGCCAATGAAACATGTCTTCAGCAACAGGGCCTTATTTGAATAATAAAAAGAAGTAAAACAACAATTAGACGGAATAACCAATCTGCATGTAACCTATCAAATTCTTTTCCCATATAAAAATTAAATCAAATACTCATCCTTTTTCTTATTTGCCTTAAGAAAATATAAGATGTTCACTCCTAAAAAATTTTAGCATATTTAAGAGAAATGATGATGCAATGATGAGTTCTTACATGAGAAAAATTCTTCAGCAATGCATGCTAATCATTTCCTGACAACTTCACCTATACTATAACTAATTCATATGAGCGCATACTGACTTAGCAAACATGAATATGCTTAGCAATCAATAAAACACGAAAAGAAAAAAAAAAGGCTTAAAAACCTTGAGTCAAACAGAATCCAAAGACATAAATCTAAAACTTGAAAAAAAAAAAGACAAAGAAAAAGAAAGAAAGATATTACAGTTTGAATCAATAATAAAATCGTCATGGTCAAAATCATACCCCTAAAAATAAGTACAGATCCATTATATTCAGCTCCAAATTCAATTATGCAGCAATAATTATCTCATGTCATGATTTAATGAACAAAAAGCAGATATTTAAAAAAGAAAATTAAGCAAAATTTCAAGAAAAAAATTTGAGAAAAATCACACGAAATAAACAAATCGAGGCGCGAAACAGAGAAAAAGGGAGAAGAAATTGAACCTGCGCTACAAGAGGTTGGAGGATCTTTCTGGAGATCCTTGAGCTCCTTCAAGATCCGCTTTGACGCCATCACCTAAACCCTAAAACAAACAAAAAATTAAAAAAAAAAAAAAGAAAATCAAATCCAAGCTAGATCGCCATTAGCTTCAACGAAGCTAACTCGAAAACTTTTAAATTAAAGAGAAACAAAAAAAAAAAAAGTAAAGAAGTAATCGGAGAGAAAAAGGTACCTGAGAGATCCTCCTGTCCTGGCTATTGCTTCTTTCTATGTTGGTCGCTGAAAATAGCGGAAGAAAAGTAAAGCGAGAATTAAAAAAAAAAAAAAAAAGGCTTTAGAAATAGTGTTCCGAGAAAATGAGTTTTGAATAATTAAAAAACAACAAAGATAAGGCAAATCTGGGCTGCTTGCGTTCTAATTGCTATCTTCGTGGACCCCACACAATACAAAGAGAATTTTCTTTTTGTAATAAAATGTTTTACTTTAGAATAATTACAAAATAGGTCACACAAATATTTATTATTTTTTTAAAAAAAAATTTGAGATAAATAATTTATTTAATTTTTTAAATTAAAATAAAATATATCGATAATTTAAAATAAATGATTACAAATCATGTATTCAAAATGATTTTAATAAATAATTATTAATAAAATTCGAAACTTAAGATTTTTTCATTAAAAAAATTTTAATCGATTAAATCAATTACTTACTGATAATATTTATTACTTCATTCAACATAAAAAATTTCCCTTTTTCTTTACTCCATTTTTGTTTTTTTTTTTAAATCTTAGATGGTTTTGACCGGGTTGACCCGAATATATTAATCTTCTTCACCCTTGATAGTTCAGTTATTTACAGTTAGTAGTATATAATATTGTCGGAACATTGACCTTTGAACTTGGTTTAACCGCCTCATTAATGTTTCTTTTTTTAATTATATTGAAATTATTAATAAATAAAAATGATTAAACGGTGAAAAATAAAATTACTTGTAGTAAGAGAGTAAAAAAAGTACAAGTTTAGAGTAAGTTTTCTTTTATTTTATCCTATATAGTTGAAGGGAAGCTTTTGCAAATTGCAATTTGAGGCCCAAAGACAACAAGATAAAAGGGAGTGATTCACCAATGCATAACCTCCCAACTCTTGGATCAGCTTGACACAAGTCTTAAACAGAATTTGTTCATTGAAAAAGGCACAACGAATTTTTTTTTGAAAAGAAAAAAGATTACAATACTGAACTAGGTAAAAGGAATTGAAAAAGACTCTGGATTTGGTGACTCAACCTATCACTGTTACTGCTGGTGTTGAACTTTCCGATCTGTTTCCTGAAGATGGTCGATTCTCAGAATCAATCCGCCGGACATTTTCTATCATTTTAACTAGTTCTGGCATTTTAGGTCTCTGATCAGGCATCCTCACAACACATGTCATTGCTATTTGTAACATCTCCACCATCTCTTCCTCTATATTTGGATATCTCATCAGTTCTATATCAAAAACTTCAGCTGTCCACTCCTCTCGAACTACTGAATGAACCCACCTGACCAAATGGATAATCTCGTCACCACCAGTAGTATGGATAGGGGACTTTCCGGTAAGGAGCTCTAGTAAGCCACTCCAAAGCGTATAGACATCAAATGGCTGCATAGCTTTTCTGTGTGTCAGTCACTTCAGGGCACGATAACCAGCAGCGCGGGAGATAGAGGGCTAGTGCAACTTCCATTATTGTTACGACGCAAGAGTTGACACGGCAACCATACTGTGGGAGTTGACAAAATGTTTGAGGACGTGATGTTGCCGTGGACAAACTTGCCACCCATTCTCCATAGAAGCGAGCAAGTGCCTCTTGCTGCTCCATTGCTTATTTTCATTCTGGCATACCCAATCTAGAGGGACTGTCCCTCGCCTTCTACCTGAAAGCGATTACATTAAAAAAAGCTAGAAATATTGATTTTTATACATTGATGATGACCAAAGTTGTGGACATTCGAATTAAAAGAATAAACTGACATAAATACTCCATGAAAAAGAAGCCAAGGATGAGAATTTTATTCACTACCTTGGAATTGACATCCAAATCCTATTGTGCCGCCAAACTCTAATCAGTAACATGTTTTTTAATTATATGATCACTCTCACCACCTCAGTTCAACATTAAGGATTCAGAAATTTCTTAAAGGAAACTATCTTAAATCTTTTTTTTTTCCGGCATACCAATCCTCACACCAAGTCCAATCAAGTTTATGCAGGAGCGTGACATATACTATCCAAAACAGTGAAGCATCGAGGTTTCGCCTTCATCTCGATGTGTATAGCATTCATAAAGATGATAGAAGATGAGAAGCATTTCAAAAAGACATCCTATCTTAGCAAGGGACATTTCTAAACTGAAAGTTATCTGATATAATCAATGAAAAACAGACTGATATGTGGAAAAACAGTCGCACCTATGAAAATATTGATCTAGTATTTTTTTTCCCTTTTTTTTTGTTTTTTGGTTTCAATCAAAATGCTTCCATGAATTATTAGTTATTATCTATGAATCATCTTTTCCACCATCAGTCTAGCATTTCTAAAAGACATCCTATCTTAGCAAGGGACATTTCTAAACTGAAAGTTATCTGATATAATCAAGAAAAACAGACTGATATGTGGAAAAACAGTCGCATCTATGAAAATATTGATCTAGTATTTTTTTTCCCTTTTTTTTTTTTTGGTTTCAATCAAATTGCTTCCATGAATTATTAGTTATTATCTATGAATCATCTTTTCCACCATCAGTCTATCATTCTCATTCCCAAACCACACAAATACACACATATTTCATTTAAGTGGTAAGATATGGAACTTTTCAGAAATATAAAGCTTCAAATCATGTAGAGAGTTTCACATCTAATAATACAAAAGGATAATATCATCTTAAGTGCTTTTCTTATTTATTAATTATTGTAATCACAAAGGGTTACAACTAGGAGGAAAACCCAGGGAAATGAATGCATAGTATCGAATTGGTCATTTACAAGGGCAGTATCTGTCAAAGAGTAAATTGCAAACAATAAATGTTTGTTTTTCAGCACTTCAGAGATAAAAATGCAATTAATTATTATCATAAAGAAACAAGGGAATGGACAAAACAACATACCATGTAACATGGAAGCAACGCTTCCCTGATTGTAATAATCATAAACCATCAGCCTTTCATCTTTTGAGTAGTAATATGCCTTCAGTTCAACCACATTCGCATGTCTAATGCTTCCAGCAACCTCCATCTGTAGCTCAAAATCCCGCTTCCCAACACTAACCTCCTTCAATCTCTTCACCACCACTGATGTTGCATCCTCTAGCACTGCCTTATAAGAAATACCAAAAGTCCCCTTCCCCAATACTTCAGCAGAAGCCCTCAACAAATCCTCCAAATCAAATGTATAATTACAACCCTCAAAAAAGAACAATCTATTATTTGCATCCTGACTTCTTGAGACCACTTTCTCTGGTGACATCTCTCCCTTTTGCAACTTCCGTGAACATACATCCTCACTCTTTCGTCTTGAGCAGCAAACAATTATTAAAAATGCAAATGCCACAATCCCCAGAACGCAACCAGCAATTATTATTCCTAACAATGCAGTTTCACCAAGCCTCCCAGACTTCCTGGATGCCGGATATGGTTTGCTAGAGGGTGCAACAAACGGGGATGTTTGAGGAGGGATGCTTTCAAAAGAAATGTTATTACCTCCAAAAGCCGAACTCGGGAATCTTAAAAGCCACTTTGGAACACCACCAGTGAGATTATTGTTGAACAAGTTTATCTGCTGTAAGCTAGGCAAATTCAGATCAGGAATTTCACCAGAAAGTGAATTGTTTGCAAGATTCAACGCCTCCAGGTGAGTCAAATTCGACAGAGAACTAGGAATACTCCCATTGAATCGATTGTTGGATAAATTAACATTAGTTAGATTCTTCCAAACAGAGAAATCCACCGGCAATGGACCAGAGAAGTTGTTGTATTGAAGATAAAGAAACGACAGGTTTCTCAAATTAGAGAAATCAGAAGGGAAGTGACCACTGATAGCATTGGATCTAAGGCTCAAAATCTGCAAAGCTGAGAGGCGGCTCAGAGTATTGGCAGGAATAGGGCCATGCAATCCGATTCCAGGCAATCTAACCGCTATTATCCGAGAGCCATCAGGATTACAAGTAACTCCAGTCCAGTTATTACAAACTGGAGAAGTCTCATTCCAGTCTATATAACGAGAGTGGCGCAGTTTGTTAACAAAATCAAGCAATGCCTGCTTATCCTCAACTAGGTCTGCATTTCCTTGGAACGTAACCAAACCCAGGATGCAAATCAAAGAGAAAATGTTCGAAGCTTCCATCTCTCTCTTTCTGAAGTCTCTCCTAACACCTGAAGCAAAAACCGAACTGTTTCTGCTACTTTCCCGGTTCCCTCCTTACATCTATGGTTTTAAGCTGAAAACAATAGAAAAAAAAAGTAAACAACTCGAAATAATTTAAAATGAGTTGGAGAAAGAGAATGTTAAGTAAGGACTAAGGAGGGGAAAAAGTCAGATTTCAAGATAATTGTCGAAACAGGTAAGGGTGGGCTCTGGGGATTTTCACGTTAAAAAAATGAGCTCGTAGGCTTTGAGTGAGGTGTCTTTAGTCAAAAAGAGTCATTGCCAATAACCCAAATTTCAATTCTTTAAGCAAATAAAGAACCCAACTTCTTTCTTTTCTTTTTGTTCTTTGTTCTTTTAGCTTTTCAACCAAAATGTTGAAAACTTGAATCCAAAATGGTGAATTCAAAACCAAATCCAAAACAAACCCCACATCAAACTACCTCTATACAATCATAAACTAGTGAGAAAAAAAAAAGTTACTGCCTTTACACTTACCTCGTTTTCTAGATCTGCTCTCCTCAAACCCTTCTGCTCCCAATTTCACTTCTTTGCTTAGTTAGGACTTCCAAACTCTGCCTTTTTCACTCACCAACCCCCAGAGAGAAAGAGAATGAGAAAGCAAAGATCAAAGAGGTGAAAATGCAAATTATTATGATTATTTCTCTCTGGCTAAAGTAGCATTCAGATCATGTGAAAACGGATAATAATCATTAAGAAATAGCTCAAAAAAATAAAAAGAAAATGATGAATCTTGCTATTAAAAAAAGCAGAAAATTACTATGATTTTCTCAACAGAGTTAAAAATACTCAGAAATGGTACCAAATCACTGATTTGAAGCTAAGAGTGAAAAAAAAAAAGAAAGTATATAAACAGTAAATACATGAAGCTTTTTTCAGTTTTTTTTTTTAATAATTAGCAACGGCTATATCTTTTTGGTGACATTCAATTGACGGAGTACGGG